TCCTTCATTATCTCCGTCGTCTGAGGCAAACTCTTGCAATTTTTATATAAGAGCCAGTTTCCTCGCATCAGAAAGGGTGATTTTTATCCTCTTACATATCACTCGCTCAAGAAATATTTCAGGAACATTTCATAACACTTTGCAGATGCAAGGTGTCATTTTCAAGTGAAAAAGCGCTCACATCACGGTCAGTGAATGAGCAGTTTTCCTTTTCAAACTACATCTGGCAGCAAGATGTCAGCCTCGTGGCTAAAATTGATATGTATCGGAGAAAGCCTTTAGGCTGATATTTCGCGCGGGTGAACTTCATTGCAAACCTGAACTCGTTTACTTATACGAAAGACTGATCTCATGAGTTTTGTCAACAAAGCTCAGAGAGCATAGGAACATCGGGACTATTCTGTTACTTTTTCCTTCACAGAATCGACGTTACAGGTAAGCACAAGGGTCCCTAAATCGACGCCTAAAGTGACCACGGGTGAAAAAGGATTGACAACTAAAGTCACCACCCGTGCGCGGGAGTCGACTTCTGAAGTCGCCACTTTAATCACAGAAGCAGATTCGACACTTTTCGTATCGACTCTCCACGAGACAACGATGGCGCCAGAGCCGACGGAGCCTGCGGCAAATTGTCAGGAGATCTTGGATGCTGGTGTCAACACTAGCGGTGTATACACCATTCAGCATGACGGTAAAACCATGCAGGTCTACTGCAATATGGAGTCTGATGCCGGCTATATGGTGAGTGTCTGTCCCTTACTGAAATAATGACACAATGTTCTGTCATTTTTCGGGCAGAAAATAATCAAGGGGCCGAATTTCCATTAAAGAAAGATTTACTATAAACAAGTTTTAGAAGGGAACAAGCTATAAAGTATGCCTTAACAACGCTTTGTTTATTTGTTTGGTTTTCTCGTTGTTGGGGTAAATTCAGTTGTCTTCTGTGACAGCGATTTTTAAAATCTCCCCCCCCCAAAAAAAAATATCTGTAATAAGTGTTAAAATGACAATAAAGTGAAAAAGCGTTGACCACTGTAGGAGGGAATCTGTTGATTCTGAGTCAAGACATGCCACCTTTTACCTTTT